CCCTCACTTGGCAAAAAGAAGAAATCTATCTGAGTTTGGCCGCTACATACCGGCCCTCTAATTGTTTATTAATCAATTAGCAATTACATCATACCAATAAACAAGGTCAAACTTTACTATTATCTTTGAACTAACACTTGAACACTTGGTGGATACAATGCATAACAATATGTTTGTAAATACTGACAACTACTCAGCACTGCCTTCAACTAGAGGACATAGCTTTGTTACAGGGCGAACTAAAGTAAAAGTTTTCGTCTTCAACTTGACAATTCTTACAAATCCGTTCTTGTCCTTGACAACTTCAAGTACTCTACCAAGCGCCCGTGAGTTTCTTGGCGAAGTGTCAACCACCGACACAATGTCTCCCACAGTCACATTCCGCTTGGGGTGGGTCCATTCTCTTGAAGCATAGGCAGGTACTCCTTCGACCATCTGTTCCAAAAGATGTCTGCGAAATACTAAACATGTCGCCACTGCTTAACAGACTCTCGCCCGACCGTTGAAGAAGCAGATGATTCGGAGTCAGGACATCTAGGTCATTTGGGACTGTTAGGGTAAGTGGTCGTCCATTCATGATAGCTTCTACCTCACATTCTCGCATCAAGGAGTGGAGGATCTTCCTGACGCTTCTAATCAAACGCTCCCATATTCCTCCAAAATGTGATCCTGCTGGAGGATTGAATTGCCAGGATTTGCCCTTCTGTAGCAAGTTGTCATGGATTTCCTGTTGGTTCCAGGTTCTCATCTGCTCACGCATCTCACGTTCTGCGCCAACCAAATTGGTTCCATTGTCAGAGAGAATGCTCTTTACTGATCCACGACGGGCACTGAATCTGCGGATTGCGTTGATGCATGAATCCGTATCAAGTAAATGCGCTAACTCCAAGTGGACAGCTCGCGAAGTCAAAAAAGTGAATATGACCCCGTACCTCTTCACCATACTTCTACCACGTTTCACCTCAAAGGGACCAAAATAATCCATTCCAACCTTGCTGAATAGAGGCTCATTCAACGCAAGTCGCTCTCTCAGGCTGGCCATTTTTTTGCTGCTCAGCCGGGGCTTGGTATCTCCTGCAAGTGACACATCTCGAGACGGTACCGTTGATGATGGAAGGTGCCCCAATTATCCAGTAATGTCGTCGAAGCTCTACTAGGATGGAATTTTTTCCCAAGTGTCCAACTGACTTGTGTATATGCTTAAGAATAAGCCTAGATACGGGAGAGTCTCTTGGCATCAGTACCTGGTGCTTGGACTCAAAGTCGAGATCTGCTCTACCAATCCGACCACCAACACGTAGAAGTCCATCTACCAGCTAAGGATCAAGCTTTCTCAACGAAGAAGACTTCTTTACTACCGAGGATGGTTTTCCCTCTGTCTCGTTGAGCAATTTGATTTCGTCCTTCCAATGTTTCTGCTGGACATAGTACACCAAAACCCTCTCAGCAGCCTCAAGGTTTTCTGTGGTAAGTCGGGTATGGTTAAGACTTTCTCTGGCACCTGATGAAAGAGTTTGCTTAACTATGCTCTGCTCTGATTCAAGCTTCTGTGAACGGTGCAACGGATTGGGTTCTTGCTGCTCGAACTCTTGCTTTGCTGACTCCAGTTTCAACTTCTTGCTTGCAGCCACTCTATCTTGGAGGCGTTTCATCACAACCAATATCCAAACAACTGCCCGTTTCAGCCTGGTCCAATCTGAATAGTGCTCCAGAATTCTGTCAATTGGACTGATAGGTGTCTCTGCTGTCATAAGCACGGTTTTCTTCACCTCAACATCATTATCTGGTAGCTTGGTCAGATCTGCATCTTATAAAGGCCATTCTGTTTCTGGCTGAGACGGGAAGCCTTGACCCTCAAACCACATGGAGCACTGAAGAAACCTTTTCACTGACTGACCACGTGTTGCGCAATCAGCAGGGTTGGATTTGGTATCACGTACTTCCATTGCTGCAAGCAAGAGGCATCTATGATTATTGCAATGCGATTTGCAAGGAAGCGACAACTCTCATTTGCGAGGTAACGCAATTTTGTCAGATCAAAGCCGCCTTGTTTGCACAGGGCTGTTGTACTCTTGATCGAATGAGCAGCTTCTTGTTCTGTACCAACCGAGACAAGACAGTCGTCTACATAGAAGCTTCTCTTCACTACGTCACATGAAGCCTCTCCGTAGTCACCAACATTATCCTAAACACTTTGCTTAAGAGCAAAGCTTTAGCAACTCGATGACAAGACTGCTCCAAATGGGTGGACTTTCAGACGATAGGCAACCGGCTGTTCTTTGAGATTGGCATCTGGCCACCAGAAGAATCGGAGACAGTCACGGTCTTCACTGGGAACTCTTAATTGGAAAAACATTTTGGCTATGTCTCCCATTATAGCTATCTCCTCGACGGAATCTCAGGAGTACACCCATCAGACTGTTTGTAAGATCTGGTCCTTGAAGTAAGACGTTGTTCAAAGATGAACCCAAGGTACGTAGCCGCACAATCGAAGACTACTCTAATCTTATCGGGCTTGCACCGTCTGCCCGGTGTAGGTCTTCTTTGTGGGACCTATTCGGCGTAGCCTTCACTCATAATCTTGAACATGAACTCTATGTAGTCACTGCCGAATTCACTGTTTCTCTGTAATTTGTGTTTCAGGCTATCAAGGCGCTTCAATGCCATTGACTTGTTGTCAGTTAGCTTTACATCTTCTGCTTTGAAAGGCAGACCAATACAGTAGTCACCATCTCTGTGAGTGATAGACTTGTTCACGGACGCCAATAATCTGATGTCTTCTTGAGAATGCTCTTCCTTGTCATCAATGAGCCTCTCGGGGAAATCCATGTTGATGGTCTCTCTAACCAATCTATCCAGATGCTTAAGCTGATTTACTTCTGCTTTTGCTGTGACCTCAGCCTTGTTTACAGAGAAACTACAACTTATGTCACTCTGCACTTTTTCAGCGTCTCTCATCACATTCCAAACCACCCAACCGAGCATAGTTCTTGCAGCAAGAGGGCTACCTGCCGGACCAGTTTTCAGATCAAACGGGGTGTAGGCGTCTCACTCACTCACTCACTCACTCCATGGCATCGCTCCAGGTGGAGCATACCGTCCTAACGAGCTTTTTCCACTTGAGACGACTGGCTGTTAAAGGGGCTGCTTGATGGATATTAAGAGTCAGCCTTTTCAGGTCTCTGCCCAGTGTGTCCCCCCCCCCCCATCTAGTCCGTTGGCGCCCTGGTCACCGTCTTCCATGAGTTGGGGTCCAGTCTAAAAGTCGTCTTGGAATGCGAGACTGCTCCATCTTCATAAGATGTCCCCACCATATCAAACGCTTATTGCTAACAGTGAAGAGACTGCTGGTTGGTTTGTTTTCTCCCTGACTTCTATGTTTGTGATTCTGTCCTCCCACTCAATGCCAAGGATGCATCGCAAACATTTCTGGTCAAAGGCGTCAATTCTCCTCTCTTGACCTATTGTGAGAGACCAGGTCTCAGCAACAATTTAAAGGGTGGAAATGACACAAGAGTTGTAAACACATACTTTCTGCCGAAGAGAGATTTTCTGCTGTTTCCAGATATTATCCAAGTCCTTGCAGGCAGCCCCTGCTTTACCAATCCTTACATTTATTTTCATTTCTACTTTGCCATCTCCTGAAATGTAGCTACCGAGGTACTGGAAGTTCGAGACAATGTCAAGCTGCTCTTCATCCAATGAGACTAATGTTAACAGGCTGTTAGCAACAGGCATCACTTTAGTTTTGGATTTGTTTACATTCAACCCCACTTGTGTACCATATGTGTTCACTCTGCGTGTTGATGTTTGGAGTCCCTGAGTGTTAATCATCGTCTAAGAGTGCGATGTAATCAGCAAAATCTAGGTCGCTGAGCATATCTGCAGGATAGCGGCTACTCCTTCTGGGTGTGAGAGTAAGTCCTGTGTTTGGTTTATTTAGGGATTACTTCAGGATACAGTCAATCAATATGTTAAACAGTAAGGGTGACCATACGCATCCCTGTCGCACTCCTGACTTGATTTGGAAGAAGTCTGTGCGAATTGGCCTTCAACCCTTACACAGCATGATGTACCAGAATACATGTTCTTCATTATGTCAACTATCTTCTGGGGTATGCCATAACTCCTGACTATGCCCCACAGTGATTCTCTGTGGACTGTGTCAAATGCAGCCTTGAAGTCAATAAACTTCATAACACATGGCAACTGATTCAGGAGACATTTTTCAACAATCTGGCGCAATGACAATATCTGGTCAGCACATGATCTTCCAGGTCGAAAGCCTGCCTGGTTCTTACGCAGCTTTTTGTCGGTGGCATCACGTACACGTACCAGAATAACTGTACAGAACACTTTGCTGGCTATAGAACGTAGAGTTATCCCTCTGTTGTTGTTACAGTAGGTTGTGTCTCCCTTCTTCCGCAATGGAAATATTTAACCCATTCTCCAATCCCGGGGAGGCTCTTCAGTGTTCCAGATTTGCAGCACTACCATAAGTAGCAACTGGAGTATGACAGGGCCCCCACCACGGAGAATGTCTGCTGTGGTATTATCCAAACCAGGTGATTTCCCTCGCTTGAGTCGATTTGTAGCTTCTGTCACTTCCTCAAGTGAGGGCTGGTTCATATCGACCTCAAGCTCTTCTGGTGGACTAGAGTAGTCGTCAAAAGGTTTGTCTGGGGGTCCCACTTAACAGTTCGCTAAAGTATTCCATCTACCTGTTTCTTCTATCTTCTTCATCTGATATCAGTTTCTTGATATTTTCTTCCGGAATCTGTATACTTCTTTTTGATTTCCCTTTGCTGCTGCTGCTTCCAGCAGTGATGCTTGAACATCCATCCAATCTGATTTATCTTTGTTGAAGCTATTTCGGACTTCCTTGTCTAAAATCTTGTACTTGTATTTTTTCCCCTCACTTGTAGGATCCTGTTCTTTTTCCAGCAGGGCTTGCCTCCGTTCTTCTACAAGTTCCAGAGATTTTCCAGATACCGACTCATCTACTTTTGACTTTTCCAAGATTTATCTACAGACTCCTCAGCACCAAGGTCTGCTAGGGCTTTGAAACGGTTGCTCAGTTTCAAACTAAACTCTTCCTTGACTTTAGGTATTCGAAGGAGGTGGTCTGCAAATATTCTTATTTCTGGTGGTCTCTTTATCTTGGCAAGACTAGTCCTGACCTTGCTGATAACAAGCTTGTGATCGCTGTAGATGTCGGCACCATTATATGATCTTACATCTTGTAGTGAACGCCTCCATTTTCCTCTGATGATGATGTGGTCAATCTGATTGAGTGTGGTCCCATTGGGTGATTTCCATGTCGTGGTGTTGATCCTTCTGTGTGGAAAAAGTGTCCCTCCTATGACCAGGTTGTGTGTGGTACACAACTCTAGCAGTCTCGTTTCATTATTGTTCGCACTTGATCCAGCACCATGCCGTCCGATAACCCTAAGACACTGGTCTGCTGCAGTTCCTTCCTTCGCATTGAGGTCTCCAATTATTGTACATACATCATGTGAAGGCACTTTGGCCAGAACCGCATCAAGTTTGTTTTCTTCATCTGTGGCTTCTTCTGTAGGTGCATAAGCTACAATTATTGATAATTTTGCATGACGTGAGAAGAAACGAACATTGAGTAGTCGCTCATCAATAAATTCATATTCGATCAGTGCTTTTGAGGCTCTTTGTGACAGAACAAGTCCTACACCTCCTGTGTGCATGTTATCTGTGCGTCCTGACAGGATGATGTCCCATCCCTGCTCTTTGATTCTCTGTTGACCTAGCATTCTAGTTTCCTGTATGCCAGCTATGTCGATATTGTAGTTTTCCAGCATTGCTACCAGCTCACTCATCTTCCCCAGTTTGTTCAGTGTACGAACATTCCATGTTGCAATTCTACAGAGTGTGTTAATAGAGTTAAGATCTGTTAGTATTGAGGACATCGCTCTGGCCATTGTCAAGCCATGAGCTTCCTGGGTAAGGCTTTGACTGGTGACTGTCATACTTGCTCCGACAATTGGTAACATTGCTACTAATCAGGAGTCCAATGTCTGCATCTATTTCAGGCAAGCTGATGTCATTAAGGTGGTCCCACCTGGAGATGTCGTCAGTCTTTGGGATACGGTGCTGGGAAACTGGAATTGTGTCTTTTGTGTATGTGACAGGAAGATCAATTTCATTCTTCATTTGTAAGTCGCTGACCTTAAGCCCACCGATGAGATATGTCTTCATGGAGTAGGGCTTACCAATGGTGTCTAATGTAATGGACTTACATGGACCACTTGCTCCCAACTGTCGTGCTACGGTGCTTCCAGGATCCATGAACGCGTACGTTTGTACAGCCTTATACCATCTCTCAGGAGGACTTTAACAGGTACAATTGCCATGGTGCATTGACCTTGCTGACCGGCCCTCGTATTACCACCTGCATGCTTTGCACAGTTTGAACACTGCCCACTGCTGCCATCTTAATTAGGCTTTGACTCAGGCTTAGGAACTCTGTTCTCATCGTAAAGACAGGTTGGATGTCGACGTTTGCAAATGTCACAAGTGGATCTATGGCGAAACTCCTTACTCTGGTGACCACGCTTGAGACATCCGTAACATAGACCTTTGGATTTTGCAAACTCTGTTCTTTCAGACAGAGGCAAACTGGACAGACGCTTGCACTTGTCAGTAGGATGGCCTGTGTCAGTGCAATATATGCACACTGTCTTCATTTCACTGCCAAACTTTACTGCTGTCGACCTGTTGTCTCCTTCTCTGTTACGCCATGTCTGCTCGGATTGGCCACTTGAAACCTCGGTTGCAAAGCTGCCCCTTGAACGATTGGTGTTTGGTGACGACCTTTGCCCCTCTGCCTTTCACATCTTCGCTCAGTGCCTCTCTGCCGTAGATGGGATCCATCACCTTCTTTGCCTCCATCTTTATAATTCGAACCAGTTGGCTAAATTGGACAGTCTCGCCTTTATCTGAAGTCTGCCGAACAACATTTCTCCACCTGTTATGAAGATAGAATGGTAGTTTACCCACCAACTTCCTCAGGTTGTCAGGGTACTCGAGGACCTTTACTGCTTGAATGCATTTTACAGCATTTTCACATTCAACCAGCAGAATTAAGAAGTTATCAAGTGCCTTCGGGTTGTCCGGACGAACACATGGCCAATCGAGCGCTTTCATGATGAAGGAGTGGGCCTTGAGGTGCACGTCTCCATATCTAGAAGCAAATTTTTTTTTAGAGCTGCAGGGTATCCTTGCTCAGCAGGAAGATGGCTGAAACCTGAGACAACTTTATATGCCTCTCCAGTAGTGAACTGCTCCAAGTAGCTCATTCGTTCATCGTCATTTTCAATATGCACTGCCACTTAAGTGTTGAACTGCCGGATGAATTTCCGGCAGTCAACTGGTTCCCCACTAAATCGCTTGATCTCAGGAGTAGGCCTTTTCAGTTGTCTGACAACTGCAAGAAGAGCGTTGTCACCTGACATGCCAGTTTCACTTCGGTTGCTGTCACAGTGCCTGTCACCTTGTGCTGAAACAGAATGGTTATTATTGACATGCAATGGCACTGGTATACTATGGCATGATGAACTATTTAAACTTTGTTTACCAGGTACTTGTACACTACTACTTTGGCTATGACTCTCTGGTGCAAAACTATGAGCATTCGCATTTAGTGCGGATTGACCACTATTTGTCTGGTCTACCAAGTCTGACTAGTTATTAGGTTGAGCTACAATGGACACAGTTTCATTATTCAACTTCTTAACTGAATTTGAATCTCTAATTGAAACAGCATTTGACCGTAATTCAAAACTGTCCAAAACTCTTTCCTTGGCCTGAAAAATGTCCAGTCTGGTGGTCAAATTCAGCTCCTCTTCTTCCAACCTCAATTTCAACTTGGCCATCTCTATCTCTCGTCTCCTCTTGAGTGCCTTCATTCTTGCCTCCAAAGCTGCTTTCTCCTGTTCCGCCTTGAGTCGTGCCGATGATTCAGCGCTGGCAATGGAAGCTCTTGAGCCCCTCCCACTCATGCGTGATGTGCTTGTCAGTTTTTCGCTGTCAGTGGTGCCATGGCGTTGGCGTAGAACTCCGACATCATGCTCCTTCTGTAAGCAGACCATTTCCCAGTTGGAGTAGTACACCTTGAAGTTCTTCAGGAAGGCATCTCTACAGTCCCAACTGTTGTCCAGATACTCCCGTAATTCTTCCTTGGACAGCAAAGTACAGTACTCGCTGTTCTCTTTGAGCAAGTCCTCGTAAGTTGACATCCATTGCTTATATTCAGCGCGTACTTCACCTTGGTCATGCTTTTCGTTCATGAGAAGTTCAAGCCTTTCAGACTTTATTTGCCTGAACAGCTGTGACACGCGCTTTGCTTTCATGTCCTTTTGGTAGGCAAGTCCCTTTTCTGTGTGCATTCTTGCCCTCTATGATTCATGTAAAGCAGTATATTCACTGTCCATGTCAACTTTCTCATGGTCATGACATGTAGCTCCTCGCGTGGTAAGGTCTTCTGCCCCTTTATACATCCTGGAAGTAAACGTCAATGATGAATCTGCCAAAGATTACTGACGAAAATATGCTGTGCGCAGATCCAGAACATTTTATTGTCTTGTACAACTTCTTCTTACAGTTTTGGTAGTCGTACACATGTCAGGCTCATGTACAGGCACAGATTGACTACATAAAATGGAGAATAAAATGTTTGTGTAACCTAATTATTCTTACAGAATTAGCTCAAATTACATATCACTTACATGTACTATACACATGCACACACATGCCCAAAATTAAAGCGATGTTTATGAAAATACACAAGTAGGCCCCTTTCATGTACATGGACAGATGTGAGTCAATCGATCATAACCTAAATTCAGTGTCAGTCCAACAACTGCATTTATACTACATGAAGTTACTCCACGTTTAAAAGAATACGGAAGTCTAAATGCAAGAAGGGTTTGTGTACACCCATGTGCTTAAATAACATAATCCAAAATAACATGCGACTATGCATCCAACAAATGCGTTGATAATACAACATTTAGGCTTACAAAATAACACTAATCACTAATCACTGAATCACTGATATAAATTCTTCAAGAGTAACCAACCGTTTAACAAACCTTGGACGGATTAATGCTTTGGGCGAAGAATTACACAAGTTGCACACCCATACTTGTTTCACATGACTAGTGTGGACTTTCCATTGCTTTCGTGTAGTTAAGAAAAACCAGTGAAAAAACTCATTTTTCTCAAACTGTGAAAACTCTTTCAACCCAATTTTTTTTCTATGATTCCCTTTAGTGTTTCTCTTCATTCTGCTACAGATAAACCTAACCCAAAAATGCCTCTAAACCTGTTTTCCAGAAATGGGGAAACACTGTGTGGACGTGGGCAAGTCCACACAACGTCGGTGTTACCTACATTATGTGGACGTCTTTTGTTCGGAAGTCCACACTGCGTATGTAAGACAAGCTCACTCTATCGAGCTGAAGCCATGTTGCTTTTTTCCTTAGCTACCGTCTTCCCGGTACAGCGCCCTCACTTGGCAAAAAGAAGAAATCCATCTGAATTTGGCTGCTACACTACGTATAGGATCTTGTTGGGTTGTATGTGGAAAACCTTTATGCCATGCTGGTTCATGATGGCAACTATCGGTTGAAAAAAAGAATTCTTGTACCCTGTTTTCATGCTGCTTCATGTACTAATTTGAATCTTACGATCGTTACCTATGAGTATTCCAAAACTCGGCATCGTCGCCATTTTGGCTTCGCTTGTTATTTGGGTCCCTAACTTGAACATTCGAACTCAAGATAAGTCAATGTTTTCTTACAGAAATATCAAAGTGTATGATGCGTAAAGAAAGTGATAAATGGTTTTTTATCAAACGTTTGGAATCGCACAGAAATATCTAACGGAATGATAACATTGTGGCGGGAACCCCCGGGCCAACCTAAGTCTGTTAGGACAAGTCTGACTCCTAGTGGGGTGAAGACAACCTTCCCAAACTAAGGCTCTTCCCTAGACGAGAGATCACTCAGAGCGACCTTCAAGGCTTAGGGTGCAGGTCCGTTTCGGTGGAAATCTACAACCCGATTGTGAATGACTACCCTGTTAATTGCATAATGAACCTCTAACAGAGACACCTGAAACAGAATTGTCGGTAACCTCAATCAACATTGAGCATACTTTATTCAACAATAATCAATAAATGAACTGTAATTGGAATTAATAGGCGTGGTTGCTATATTATCTTGGAGAGATGAGCAAAGTCTACTGCACGCAGCAGCAATGCGCAACAGCATCCGGAATGCACAACAATGCACCGCAATGTCACCAATGCATCACAATGTCTACAAGGCGCCCCAGCAACAGCAATGTACAACCACACAGGCAATGTACAACAGCATAAACAATGTACAGTAGCACAAGCAATACACAGTAGTAAAGCCTTGTACCCGCTACGCATCAACCATGCAAGCCAGTCAGCAACGTACAGCTATACAGCCTTGTACTTGCTACACATCAGCCATACATGCCAGCGTAACCCCAGCACAGCTCATACGACTATGTACAATTCGCGCATAAACACTCCCCAAAATGCAGAGCACAAGTAATTCACCTCTTGCTCGCCCGCTGTCCGCAACATTAACTCCCCGTAAACACGTGAGTACACACAGCCCTCACGTGCACGGCTTTACGCGCGTACATGTACACGCACTTAGTCTATGGCGCGCTAAACCTGTGGCGCTTGGCTAACCAATCGCGTGCATGCAACAACGCACCGAGCTCCTAAGCTCCGCCCAGTCACTAAAACACGCACGCTTACATAGGCATAAAAGTGGGGCAC